AATACTTTTTAACAAGAAAATAGTCAAAGTCCAAAAAAAACTGCACCATGCACCAACTCTGCAGATCTCTCTCCCTAGGGCACAAGTTGCAAACGCAAGGCCCGAGTTCTGAATCCGGCCCTCCTTGTTTTATCCGGCCCGAACCTCGTTTCTACCAGGAGGCAGCACGCGGAGCTCTTGCATAACTGTTAAGGAGTAGCTACATCTGTACAGTCCTAACATTACATTCAGCCCTTTGAAAGCAACTGCAAGGCTGATGTGGCCACTGGTGAAAATAAGTTTGATACCCCCTGCTCTGGTGAGCGCATTTTCTCCTTTTCAAGCCTTTTCTCCTCTTCAAAATCAAGTTTTAGAAAGAAATGCCTTCACTGGCTGGCTACACACACACACCCCACCCCCTGCAGCACCACTCACTCTTTAATCCACAGCAACAAGGTTTGCATGAGACTCTTCTTACCAAAACCAGTTATGACATTCTAGAGCTAAATCCAATGGAAACTTTGAAACCACTATCCAGCTGGCTCTCTCTCCAGCACTCTCTCCCTCTGGATTCTTTAACGTGCTCAAATCCCGCCATTTAAAAACTGAAAGAAAAAGAACAAAAGGATTCCCTTTTACTGAACCTTTTACAGCACCGCCACATTTCTTGAGTTGTACACACTCACTGGCTCAACTTTCTTGCTCCCAATCACTGTTACACCCTCTTACAAACTGGTCATCTCACTCCTGTCCTCATCGCTATGTTGCCACTGCTGTCACCTACATTACTAATGACCCTCTGATGGTTAAGATCCTCCTTACTGAGGTTCTCCTGGACCATGGCTTTTAAGACTTCATTCACACCTCCCGGGCCCCATCCTTCTCAGTCTCAGCATGGGGGCCTATTATCTGGCCTGTCTTTCAAACCCGGCAGTGCCTTAGATCGCACTCTCCATCACTCCTTTTCTCAGTCTTTACATGCTTCTTAAATAATCTCATCTACCCCAACAACCTCCATAACAAACGGGCAACAGTGGTGGTTCTAGAAGTCTCTCTGTCCACTGCACCAGGAATCGCTATTGAGTAACAGAATCATAGATAAGTTCAACTAAACTGAAGTATTTATGTCCTAACAATTTTAGCGCCCATTTGGGGGGAAAAAAAGAAAAAGCATACTTCAACTGAGCAAAACGTGTTTTAATTACATTTTTAATATACCACAAGTGTTTACTGATGGTATAGGTACATATGTTGAGCACCTCGCAATTTTTCAGACTTGATAATACCTCCTTCACTTCCTGTTCCACACGGATCCCCATACATGGAACAGCAACCACTTGTGGGCATCAGTATGGAACAGGAATGGAGTGCAACCTATTGGAGAAACTGCTAACTACCCTGACCTATTAGTTCCCACAGGGTTGGACAGATGGTACACAATGCTGGGTATCCTTCAACAATTTAATGTCCTGTGGTCTCCCTGTGATTTCACTACAGCGCCTCAGCAAAGACTTTAGAGACTGTGGTGCTAAGAATTCTCAAATACGTCCCCAGTCCAGACATCTCCTGATATCCGGATCCCTAATGTAGCCAACTGAATAAATACTATGTCCTACAAACACCTTAAACTTAGAAAGGCCAAGTGTGACCAATCATCTTTTTCTCCCAAATGGCTGCTGCTCCTGCTCCCCAAGGACAGCACCATCACCCACCCACCCAACGATCCAGCCAGAACTCACTACTGCCCTCATATTGCATACACACTCACGACCAACAACCAAGTCCGAGCAATTCTGCCTCCTCCAGTACCCCTCCTTCCAGTCTTGCCCCTTCTATCCATTATCCAGGGCATATTTGATCACGTCCTTCTTTGGTGCAGAATTCTTCAACTGTTTCCTACTGTTCATTGAGGGGTCCTTATAATAAGAATCACAAGTCCCTAAATGGCATGGCCCTTAGTTACTTCTCCTGACTCGTTTCCTGCCACTTACCTGGCCTTGCACTCTACAGCACCACCAAACTAAACTCTGTTTCCAGTTGCTCCAATGCACCATGTCCCCTCAACAAGCCTTTGTACACTCTCTCCTCTAGCTAGACTTTGATCAATTCCTTCTCATACTTCACTGGGAAGCTTTTCTTATCTCTCTGAAAAGTCCCTAAGCTTGGGTTTGCAGTCATCCTCTGAGCTCCTGTGACTAGCCCCTTTACGCTGCTTTTTAGTCAGTGGTTAAATCTGTCTGAGAGCAAAGCTGAACAGTCAGCTCATCTGGGGCTCACAGAGGTATCACCTTGTTTACCTTTTTATCCCCCAAATATATGATAAACTCTGAATTCTCCTGAATGAACAAAGCGGGTGACTGGATGGATGAAGTCACTCAGGTGATGTTCCCACACCCCTCCCTGTTTCCTTACTATCACAGCACTCACTGCACCGCACAGAAATTGTGTCTCAGTAGACTGTGTGCATCTGAAATTCAGCTCTCGTCTCTTCTTTTTGCAACCCCAGTATTAAAATAGTGCCCAGTACTTAGCAGAAATTCACTAAATAGCTTCTGAATAAAAAAGGTTATTGGAAAAAACTCTGGAAGGCTATACCCAGAGTATTAAGGGTGGCTACTTCTGGAGAAAGACACAGGACAGCAAAACAAAAAGGGAACTGAGACTTTTTACTCCACGAATCGTGAGAGTGATATTAAACTTATTTTACAATATATTCTATTTATGTATTACTAGTATATTACTAGTATAATATAGGAGTATATTACCAGTGTATAATTAAGTCATGAGGGGGAAAAAAACAGTCCTGAAGAAGAATGTATGGACTGGAAGCAGCATTTGGGTCTCAATGCCCAAAAGCAGGTCCCAAGAAAACCTGACCTTAAAAAGAAATAGAAGGTGTGAAGAAAAAAAGACTGAAAGAGAAACTGAGAATTTAAGTAAAGGTCCATACAGCATATGGAGTCACTCCCAAGAAAATAAAAGAAATGGTGACAGCTTTTGAGTGGGAAACACTCTGAATATTCTTCCAAGACAGTTCTCAGAACTCTACAAAGAAGACCACTGGTAGGGGCCCACTAGTACAGAAAATTCTTTCCAAACCTATAATGGCAGAGGTTTTAATGGGAACATTCCAATAACCAAATGGATACTTACTTGCCACATGCAGGTTCCCATGGTAAGTGTAAAGTATGTCTGCAAAGACACACTGAGAATACAGAGAGGGGGCTACAGTGTTGACATGGCCACACTAGCAAAGTGAGTTCCACCTTTATTTTCGGGATTTTTAAAAATAGTGTAGCTCATCATTGACTATTAGGTTATAATTTTAAAGCAAGCAGATAAAACTACAGAGCAACTCCACATCAGCAACTGGAAGGGCAAGGATAATTTTTATAGGTATATAGTTCTAGAACAAGCTTCTTCTCACTATTTAACAGTGAATACAGGCCAGACAGTAAATATATAAAGTCAATCAAACTTTCCATCCTAATGAGCTTTCGACATCTGCAAACGCAACTTTTGTGAACATAAATTAAGAGCTTTAAAAATGAAAAAGAAAATCGACACAGACACTGTTGGGAAGGAGACCAGACACAGTAAGAACTGCCTATGGGAAAGGTCAAACCCAGCTTTCTTCTGTTTAACCTCTCAAGTAGATAAAAGAACGAGCTTTAAAGAATCACTGCATTGTTTCACAGCTAGAAAAGGAAAGTTGAGTAAAGCATATACAAAAGGAGCAACTAACTTTCAACAGAATTGCCCTACAGGAAATAGAAAAACAAACCAATTGTAACACTTTGAACTTAGTTTTGATAGAAAAGCACACATTTTAAATGTTCAGACAAACATAATTTTTAAAATGCAAACTATTTCGACCCCTTCCCCCTAAAAATGAGATCCCAAATCTTACATTAAAATGTCATACCCTGTTATGCATTTGATTGGGACAGCTCCAAAGCAAAAACTGGCCTTAATTTTCAGCTTCTAAAACCTCAAAAATTATTGCTGGTAGTAACTGCGATTTTTAAATCTCCAAATGAGAAAGAATTCCTTCACCGCCCAATGGCGTGGCGAAAATAAGATGCTCCCACTCATCCCTAAACCCATCGTTTAGTTTCTTCATAAACAAGAACTCTGCTCTCCACCAGGTAACTATCCCCTTGCAGAAAGGCTACGCAGAAAAGAAATCGCCATTGCCGGTTAAGTACCAGAGAGAGACAGGAAAAGATTTTCCACTCGCCGAATCTCCGTCGCAGAGGAGGCGTGAGAGCCAGGCGCCCCGACCCCCACTGTCGCGCGTCTCCCGGGGACGATCCCTGTAGGCATGGCAGCTCCCGGGAGCGCCGCCCTCTCCCCAACAGTGCCTTACTGTCCTCGCCGGGGCCCGACCCCTTCCCTGGGCTCCGAGAGCCGAGCCTGGCTGCTGAGGCCGGGAGCGTCACGGGGCCCCAGCCCCGGAGAGGGGGCAGCGGGCGCGGGGGCCTTGGAACGCACAGGCGCCGAGAGGGCAAAGGCGAGGATTGAGAGGGTCGGACCCCGGAGAGGAGAGCTCGCGGGGCTGGGCCAGAGGCGGGAGAGGACACGCGGAACTGGGAGGGATGTGAAGGTCCGGGACGCGGGGCAGCTCCGGGCGTCGTGCGTGGGGTGGAGGCCCCGGCGCCACCTGCAACCGAGTACCGCGGACCGGGTAGCGCCGGGGCCGGAGGGCTGCAGGGCCGGGGGGCGGCGCGAACGAGGACGGCCGCCAGGCAGAGCCGCGACGGCGGGAAGCCGCGGTCGGCACGGGCGCCGGCGAGAACGGTGCACCCGGGCTGCGGAGTAAGACGCGGGGATGCGCCGCGGCCCGCAGTGGGCCCTGCCACCCGCTCCAGCGCACCCGGCGCGATGCAGCAACTTCACTTGGCCGCAGGGCTGAGGTGTCTGGCCCGCGCCCGTCCTCCCCCGGGGCAGCTGCACGGCTCGGAGCGGAGCGGGAAAGGGGCAGAGACCTGGGAGCCTGGGCGGCCGCAGCCCGTACTCACCGGTCCGCCGTGCGGACGCCGGCGCCGGGGTTGCACTCCGAGCTCCATGGTCCCGCCGCACCGCGGCCGCCCGGCACCTTGGCTTCGCACCACACCACACGCAGCGGCGCCAGCAACGCCGCCTCCGGCCGGGCCACGGCCGCGGCCACGCCCCCTCTCGGCTGGGGGCCCGGCCGGATCAGGAGGGGGGCTCAGCGCCGTCTCCGCCAACCAGGGCCCGCTCACCGGGCCTCTTCGCCAGGATTGGCGAGCATCTTGACCAATAGGAAACGACAAGGGCCCCCAGCTCAGCGGCGCCAAGGGGCGGGGGATTGCGGAGGAGGTGGCGCTCCCTTCCTCCGTAGCCTCGGCGTGGAATGGGGTTTTGGCTGAGGTCCCTTCCACAGTGGAATGGTGGGGCTACTTTGGGCGGAGTGTATTGTGGGTCTTTCGTCTCGCCTCTGTGTATGATGTACCCGTCCGGTCCAGCCCCTTTGAGTTTCCATCCATACTCTAACCTTACCTGGGTTTCGAGAGACTCCTGGAAACAGCTGTATCAACTTGCCTGTTTGCAAGCAACCCTGTGAGGATTATAGCCGTGTCATCGGCCGGTTCCCTGCCGTTAACACCATGTTAACGGACCTACAAAATCTTTTCATCTCCCTCTACAGATGCTTTCCTTTTTCGTCACACTATCTCCAGTCTCCCTCCAGCCGAGAAGTGAGAAAATCCACAGTATCTGTGACACATAGGATGTCCCTGAAACTACCAACCTAACCGCATGGCGATGGAACACAACCAAGTGATAACTGATGACTCCAAAAGATACGAGAAAAGGAGGGAGGAGGAAAGGAAGGAAGGAAGACAGAAAAACCACCGACGTTCTCCTGGATCCTGAAGGAAAGGGGTTTAAAGGCATCAAATAAAAATGTTATCTTTGTGTTACTGGCATGCCTTCATTCTTTACAAATAAGATCACCACATCGAAAAAATTACAGGAAAAAAAGTTCCGGTCAAGCGTCCGAGAAAAACTAATTCAGGTTTGTCTTGTCATTACAGACCTATGATAACTATCTGCATCTGTTCCAGCTAATGACAGGCAACAACTAACGGCTAGAGGAAAAAAAGAAAACAATAGCATTTCATAGCAGTTTTAATAAAGGTGGCTTCATCTGAAATACAGAAGAAAAATCATGCACTCCTCTTTATGTGTAATCTATTTGCCCATGTTCCTTCCCAAAGGAGGGATTTTAAAAGCTCTGTTTTAAGACAACATATACTTAGTTTCAATGTGAAATGTACTAGTAATTAATAAGATAAACAGGATTTTAGTAAATTATTACCATGCTCTGAATTTTGAAATATTGATACTAGAATAAATTCCTGCTGAATTGGCAAAGTAAATTACTTTCCTTCATTTTTGTCTTCATTTACCCAAGGGAATAGCTTCCACGTCTATATTTAGGTCATTGATTTAGAACTGAAATATATGAAGATGTAGAATACCCGGAGTGAGTGTTCGGGGTTGCTAATCACATTTCCCTCCCTCTTCCCCACTTGAGTGACCGACCCCACCTGAAAGGAACTGGTGTTACATTTCGTTCACCCACAATTGGCCCTTAATCTTACCATCCTGCCAGTTTTATCTCTAATTAAATGATAAGTTCCAGGAGGGTAATGTCCTTATTTTATATTCCTGTTTCCTCCCCCCATAATGCCTGGTACAGTGCAGAACATGTAGTAAATATAACTGTATTTAGTATTATTAGTATTATATTATGTAACTCTATCCTTGTATACATACCCATAAGATACAAATTTTCAAACACAGTACTTCTGTGAACTTTAAATAAAAGTTGCTCAGAGTAGTCTTGTTAGGAAGCTAGTAGCTCATGCTTAACAGTGCTTAAAAAATGTTGTCAGGTCAGGGAGTGAATTGGTTGTCTGTAGCAGAAATTTTACTTAAGTGCTTCCCAACTAGGGGGGGTTTCTTACCACAAAACAAGAAATCTGGAGACAGCCCTGGGACTTCCGCAGTTTCTCCCTGGTGTCCGTGTGTTCGGGCTCCTTCATGTCATTGGCTCTACTGTCCTTGACCTATATGACTTTGTCTTCCTCCTCGAAACATGGGTGCTTCCCCTCTGGACATTGTATCATATTCTGGAAAATGGTAACAGGATGTGTAAAGGGCAAAAGATCGTAGAGGTACATGCCAACTCAGTCTTCCCCCTCAATAGTCTTTCTGGAAAACACCTTCTGCTTGCTTTTTGTAGGCCAGGCCCACGTCACACCAATGATCCCCAAATGTAAGGCAGCCTGAAATACTAAGTATTTTAAGCCAGGGCCTTATTTGCAACAATGCCAGCGTTCTGTCAGTAAGGGAGAAGGGGAATGCAGTTTCTGCCATAGTTATTGAATAAATGAACACATGAATTACTCTCTTAATTCATGAGAAGAACCATAAAGTAGCCATTCAGATCTCTATAAGAAAACAAACAACCCAGTTTAAAATGAGCAAAGGATCAGAACTTTGCCAAAAGTAGACATGGCAATATACAGATGGCAATTAAGCATGTGCTCAATATTATATGTCAGAGAATTGCAAATTAAAACAACAATTAGTACCATCTAGAATAGCTGAAGTCCAAAAAATAATACCAAATGCTGGCGAGGATGTGGAGCTCATTCAATGCTGGTGGGAATGCAAAATGGTACAGCTACGTTGGGTAACAGTGACAGTTTTTCATAAAGCTATGCATAGTCTTACCATATGATCTAGTCATCACGCTCCCTGTTATTTACCAAAAGGAAGTGAAAACTTCTGTCCAAACAAAAACCTGCATCCAAATGTTTATTTATAATCACCAAACACCAGAAGCATCCCTGACTTGTGCGGCTCAGTTGGTTTGCATCCTACAAGGCCGAGGGTCTCAGGTTTGATTCCCACCGGGGCACATACCTAGGTTTCAGGTTTGGTCCCCTGTTGGTGTTCCCCGGCTGGTGGTCCCTGATTGGGGCACATATGAGAGGCGGCTGATGGATGTTTCTCTCACACATCGATGTTTCTCTCCCTCTCTTTCTCCCTCCCTTACCCTCTCTCTAAAAATAAATAAATAAATATTTTTAAAAAAATACACTGGAAGGAACCAAGACGTCCTTTAGTAGGTTAATAGATAAACTATGGTACATCCAGACAATGGGATTTCATTCAACGATACAAAGAAATGAGATAGCAAGCCAGGAAAAGACACAGAAGAACCTAAAATCAGCATCATGCTAAGTGACAGAAGCCCGTCTGAAAAGGCTCCATACTGCATGATCCAACTATATGACATTCTGAAAAAGACAGAAGTTTGGAGACAGTAAAAAAGATCAGTGGTTGCCAGCGGTTAGGGGAAGGGAGAGGTGAGTAGGCAGAGCACAGAAGGGTTTTAGGGAAGTAAAACTATGCTATAGGAGAGTGTAATGGTGGACACATGTCATTATATAGTTGTCAAGACCCATAAACTGTAAAACACAAAAGTGAACCTTAATAGAAACTGTGGACTTCAGTTAATAACATACATAAATATTGGTTAATTAATTGTAACCATGGTAATGGAAGATGCTAACATAGGAGAAACTGTGAAAGGCAGAGGGGTTGGCTTGGGGGAGTGTATTGTACTCTATGTACTATCTGCTCAATTATTCCATAAATCTAAAACCACATTAAAAAATGTTAATCATTAGAAATAGTGGAAACCATAGTTAAGGTAACAAAGTTAACAAAGAGAAAAAAATTTGGAGGGGTCGACTTTACGGACCTTTAATGCATTCATGGACAAATTCTATTCCCTTCCACTGTTGCTAAATCTTAAAAAATTCTTTGTCACATGCATGTCTGTTTTAGTTTGAAGGGGGTTCCTCTGATTTTTATATTGACAGTTTTCAAATGTAAAGAGAAATGGCAGAACGAGCACCTACGCACCTTCCACCCAGCCCCCCAGCCCCCAGTGCACCGCCACACCCGCCTCTCCGCTCTTCATCCCACCTCCCCACCCTCACCGCAGAAAACAGGAGCCTCTGGCTTTTCAAGACTTCAGTGTTCATTCTGGGTTTTTTCCTTTCCTGTAAGTATTTGTCCAACCTTGTACATAATACCCTTGTCCCCATGAACTGGTGTTACGATGAAGTAGAAAAATTAAATTTGAGAACAAGGGAGGTGGTGATTTGGCATCATGCTAAAGAGAATTTCAATGACACAGGACAATCTGTCATTTGTGCTCCGTGAATTGATGTGTTTGAAGCACATGGTCCTGGACCCACCATCCAGCTGAATGTGTGCTGTCTGATGTCACTACTGTACAACTGAAAAAGCTGTCAAGCATATTCCTAATAAAATCTTCCCTTTAAATGGGCCATTTTTATTTCTCTTTACCCTTGCCTGGTCAAAACCTTGGATAAATTCCCAAAATTAAAATGCAGGCAGTTTTAGTGTCATCTTTACTTTGAGTTGAATAAATATAATGGTGATGACACAGTGGCTTTTTCAACACACTTTATAAATTAGATACTTGCTCAGTGATTTGTCTAAGTTCTATCATTACTAAGTCATTAGTGGAAAAACAATTGTCATTCTCTTTACTTAATAGCCTGTCATCTTACATAAAAATTACAAACAGTTTTGCACTAGGAAGTGAGTTCAGTCTCACTTTGGGGAAGCTAAAGAACAAGAGTGTTTGCTAATTAGATGAACATTTCTTATATATTCTAATAGGTAAGAAATCAAATTATAAAGCATAATAATTGTCATCATTTTTGACATATTCCCTTGTACTAGTTCTTACAATGAAGGGAAATAATGACTACAAATACCAATGCTCAAGAATTAATTTAGCTTCATGCATAAATTTTTATAAACAAGCTTTACCAACTAGAGCTTCTTTTGAAGGATAGTATCTATTTTTATCTTGACACTAAAGTGAAATAACACATCAACATACCCAAATCTCACAACAGTAAAATCTTCCCAGAAAAATAAGAAACTTTATCTTAAATTAGAATCTGAACCCAATTGTTTCATGAGATTAGGGCAGCATATTGTTGTGACCTTATTTCCAAGTGAAGACAATGGTGGGAAGGTGAAAATAACGTACTGAGAATTCACTATTTGCAGTGT